TTGAATTGGACATTTTAAAACTCCGGGTAGGTGTAATTTTCACTTTTGAAAAGCGGGATATGCCTTTTACATGAGCTTCTTTTCAATGAGTTTTAACAGACTTTAATTTTAGGGAAAAATTCACAAGTTAGGCATTAAGTATAAGTAATTCAATTTTCAGGTTTTAAGTTTCAAAATTTAAAACTCAGGTATTAATTAATTTAAAATATTCCATTAATTAAATATATTAAAATCACAACTATACAATTAATGGTCACATGTGCGTATTTATAGGTGACAATATCATATATTATTAAATTAATTGGTCATGAATTATTTTATCGATCGCAAATAAAAAAAATTATAGTTCACAATTTATTTTTCAGTCACAAACTATCAAATTTTTATGTCACAATTAAATAGTTGATCGCGTACACCAAATAATGGGTCACATACCACATCACCAACACTATTGCCATCGCGAACACTTGCGACCACCTTCAGCTCGACACCGTTGACAACACTTCAACAGAGCCACCCCACCACCACCACTACTATAGCAAAACCACAACACCACCACCAACAAGACGGCCACCACCAGATCCAAACCATTGCCAACAAAAACTACCACAATCAGATCTCCAGCCATCAACAACCACATCTACCACGAACAACCACCATTATAACACTTAACCAAAACCACCACTATCGCACCACCACCACAACCCAACAACAAAAACAATCTGTAACCTTTTTCCGTTATAGCAACGACGCTGTGCATGGCCACGGGTAGCAGCGTTCACAGCGCATCCATCTCCTGTAGTGGGTGGAGCACCTCCGTGAGAAGGGAAAATATGTATAGCGAAGATCTTCCACAATGAATGCGTTGTCGTTGTGAGCGCAGTCATCTCCGACGATTGGGGTGGAGCACCACTGTGAGTTGGCACTTATCGTGATGCTTTGGAGTGAAGATAGAGTATGTGTGCGGCGACGATATCTGATAGTAGGTGCCTTGTCTCGTGTGTGGGACAATGGTCTCTGACAGTGGGTATGTCGTCATCGTCGGATTAAGGGGTGTGTGGATATGTGTAGAGAATGAGAAGATGGAGAGTTATGGTGAAAATAAAAATGAAATGATTTTTAGGATTTGGAATCAAATTGGATTGAGATATTTAATATTTCATTATTATATTAATGGCTTATATGTGAACAAATAAACTTCATAGCTGATTTATGAATTGTATCTTTCAACAACCGTTGACATGTAATTTCTACTTAATTTTAATAGACTTAATCTGGCTAATTATTCAAAATCGACTCAATCCATTAATTATTTTTATTTATTTATTCTCTTGATGTCTACATACATACTTTCTTATAAAATAATATTATACGTAAATTAAAAATCTTTAATTATTTTTTATTCGTACGTTTCATCAAAAAAATTGTTATTCAAAAACTCATTTTCTTCTAAATTTCATTAAGCCCAAACAAGGGCTATATAGCCTAGGGAAGAGTTTAAAAGTAAGGTATTAACTATACACAATTCAAAAATC